TGGTGAACACACAATGAACACACACAGGCCCCTTTTAAGACTCCCCAGTAGTCTGCTTGTTATTCACCATCTGGAAGCGAGGTTCTCTCTCTGAGGACCACGGCTTGGGGCACTGAGCTGTACCAGAAGTGCTGACCCGCCTCCTCACCAGGCAAAGGGTCCACGCCCCTTTGAGAAGGAAGCCAAAGTCAACAGCTAATTCCTGCCATACCAGGATTAGATATAAACAAACCCAAATATGCCACCATATCCTGCCCTTGAAGGGCACTGATTTCTTTTGAGAAACCATTGTTCAACTTTCTCCACAGACTCAAGTAGGCAAAATCCCACCCCTGACACTAACCCAGTGACAAGGTGCAGGTCACCATCACTGGTTCAGGGTTTATAAGAGACCTGACCAGGTGAATGAGAGGCTTGCCCAAGGCACTATCTCCTCCTGAGGTGATGAGTGCAGCGTTGCAGGACCAGGTCAGCCGGAAGCTGCTGAGAAAGATGCCCACACATGGAGCCTCTGGCTCTATGATCCAGCTATGCCTGATGTTGCCCACTCCACGGGCCTTCCAGCTATACAGGCCAGTCCTCCCCCTTTTTTACCAGCTGGTTGGAGTTGCATTTTTTGTCATTACAACCCTAAACCTGGCTCTATGGAAACTGATCTCGAAAGGCATGATGTCAGAGGATGATTCCTGAAGTGCAGGACTGGCCATGTGGAGACAGTGAGGATGCTGCCACCTCCAGCTAAGAAACTGATATTCTAGACACAGACAGCAGCAACACCAGCTGAAATGCTGCCTGTGTTGTTTGGAGACAGACCTTAGGCCATGGTGTCTGCACTTGAGGGCATTTGGTAGAACATTTTAGGATTAGCCTAAATTGGATATTTTTGAGGATCCAATTGAGACCTATAAAAAGGGGGCGAGCACCATTCCTTGCAGCCCCTCTGAACAACACAGCCTTGCTGAAGCCTGTTCTGACTATGCACAATAATGCAGGTGGCTGAGGGCCAAACCTGATCATCAGGGCTGGAAGTTCTCTGCTCCTGCTGAAGGGTGCCAGAGTCATGAGGGAGACTGGACCTTACCAGGCACTAAGGCTGGGACATGGGAAAAACATGATCCCCCAGTACTTCACAGGGCCCGTGGTGGCTGTCGTGCAGGAGGCAAGGAGCATGCACACGTTCGGCCCAGATGGTTGCTGACCCATTAAATGGAGCACTGGGGGGCTGGGTGGAGCCATGAGGGAGGGCCTGGTGCTGAAGAATGGAAACCTCTGGGCCTGACTCTAGATCCAAGGGTTTGGAGTTAACAGTGTTAGGCTCCAGCTCCTCATGCATGGAAACGCTCCAATGCCAAATGCCCAGAGGCCGGCTATGGGGAGCTCAAGGTTGCTGCAGAGCCAGACAGGACCCAAACCTGACTGACAAGGCTCCGGAGTGCTCAACTCACAGCACGAGAGGCCCCAGTGTGACATTCCCATCAGGAGGTGGGTGCCGGGGAGCTCAGGAGAGGCCATTTTACAAAGGGCTCCTCTCGGGGGGCCAAACGGCCCTGTGCCAATGCAGAGATGTCCACACACCAGAACTGGGGGCACTGAGCCCAGGCAGGAAGTTGCTGCGCTGCTCTACCAGGCTGTGGTCTTGACCGGCAGACCAGCTCTCTCTGAGGTGTTTCCATTTCCTGCTTTTCCCAAAGAACAGACATCCCTGGCACCGGGCCAGCGCCTGGGCAGGAAAGGGTACACTGGGTAGCGTATGACTCATCAGTTCTGCACCAACTACAGCACGCTTAGCAGCTCCTTGCAGGCTGCCACTTCCCCAGCACACGCAGCCGGTCTTACAGGCCTGCCCGCCACTCCCATGAGTGCAGGGACCCTAACTGCTCCTCTGGCCATTCCTGGCAGGTGCTTACTGACTCAACTGCCGGCAAATTTTACTTTCTCCTGTGGGAACTGGGCCAGAGACTTTGAGGAGGGCCGCTATGACCTCTAACTGGAGAGACTAGGCTTCCACATGCTGGGCCAAAGTCCTGTGAGCTGGAAGGAGAGAATGTTGTAGGTGGGAACTACCAGGGGAGGCTTCCTGGTGGAAGGAGAGTGTGGGAACCATCTATGTGCAGAGGAAACAAAGGAAGTATGGTAGGCCAAGACCGTGGCCCAGAAAAAGTGAAGGGACATAACTTGGTGGATGGTGGTGAGCACAGGGGCTGACCCGCTCATACACTGGGCCTCCTGGGCTGGGCAGCTCAGGCTCTCCTGTGACAGAAGGCCCCATCTTCTGTCCCGCCAGCTGGGCCTGCCTGAGAACCAGATCCCTGCCCCAATGCAACCACGAGCAGAGGCCAATGCAAAATGGTCCATACATTGTAGTGTGATGATGTGGCCAGCCAGTGTTCAGGAGTAGGCAGGGCAGGCTGCTGTCAGGATTGGCATGGCGTGGGGATGGATGGGGCACGGGAGTCTAACAGAGAAGTCGGGAGCTGCCTGGGGTTGAATATTCTAGTTCAAACTGTGTCCTGAGAAAGTTGTTTCACTTTTGCCAGCCTTGGTTTCCTCACTGTAAGATAAGGGGTTGATCATTTCCATAACTGCTCGCAGTCCAGCGAGCAGTCCAACAGTGCTGTGAGCAGCACTATTAGGGTGTTGTGAGCTCCGGCTGACTGGGTTCCAACCCTGGCTATGCCACTTTCTGTGGGACCTTGTGTGAGTCCCTTCACCTCAGCTATGATGCAGGAACGACAAGGACACCAACTCGGAGGGTTCCACTGTGGATTCGGTGAGGTGCTGGCATGAGTGAGGGCCACCTGCTGCCACCATCCTCACTGCAGGCTGAAGGGCCGTGTACCAGCCCCCCACCCCAGAGGAAAGCCTGAATGCCCAATGTGATGGACTTTTGGTGATGAGGCTTTTGGCAGGTGATCAGGGTTAAATAAAGCCATGGGGGTGGAGCCCTGTGATGGGATTAGTGGATTTAAAAGAGGAGGCCACACAGGAAGGCAAGGCCCTGTGAGGCCACAGTGAGAATGTGGCGGTTTGTAATTGAAGGAGAGTTTTCACCAGATGCTGACCCTGCTGGTACCCTAGTCTTGGACTTCCCAGCCTCCACAACAGTGAGAAAGAAATTCCTGCCCAGTCTCTACGTTCTTGTTAAGGCAGCCAGCAGGCTCAGACAACCCCATGCTCCCACATGGAGTGAGGACTGACAACCAGGCATCCCCCCGTCCCTGCCTCTCTATGGGGAGACCCACCGACCCTCTCACACCTGGGAAGTCCACATCATGCACACCCCACGCAGGGTCAGGTGAACCTCAGCAGGCCAAGCAGAGGGTGCCATCATGGCAACAGGACAGGGAGGACAGGCGAGCGGAGGCAGGCAAGGGGGAGGCCACGTGCGGTCAGCGAGGGGCAGGGAGCTCGTGCAGCCCATGACCGAAGAGCGCCCGCCGGCGGTGCCCGGCTCCTTACCTCCCCTGCAGGGTCTCTGACCACCAGGACTGTGTTCCCCCAAGAAGCTGGAGGCGTGCTGGAAAGAGTAGAGAGCAGGAGACAGGGAGCGGTAGACACCGAGCCAGGTCTACAGGAAAAAGTAGTGGAAAGGACCCCCAAAGCAGGGTGTGAGGGTCAGGGGATCCATGGCTGAAGTGGTCTCCGAGAGGCCCAGGAGGCCCAAATGCCAAACAAAGATTCCCCTAAGACTGGTGTGGGCCAGGAGCACAGAGAAGGGGATGAGTGAACAGAGGAAAGGAGCACCCGAGAGGAGACCACCCCAGTGGGCATCTGGCACTCCAAGGCTGGCGCCGGGTCTGCCCAGGGTGAAACTCTCAGCAGATTTCTGGGGACAGGACAGCCTCCCCATGGGGAGAGGACCCCAGGAGTCGGTGGTGGAACAGAGCTCCCAGAAACCCCAGCAGGCAGAGCCAAGGAGGCTGTGCTCTGTACAGAGAGCAGGCAACCCCAGGCCCAGGATGACGGGGGGGGGGGGGTCGTACTCCAAGGGGAGGTTCTTAGTCCTGGCTCCACCACAATCTCTGGGTAACTCTGGGCAAAGTATCTGTCCTCTCTGGACATCTCTGGGCTCCATATATGAGCTGGGGAGAATATTCCTATCTGCAATAGACAAGAGAGTGATAAACATGTTCCCGATGCCAGGGTCCAAGTATTCACAGGGTCACATCCATTTCAAGACTTTCCTCTGGGCTTTCACTTGTGCTACAATAGGTGATGATCAAAGATTCAGGACTTCTGGCACCTAGGACCTCACTGCCACCAAAGGCCACCCCTCCAGCCACCAAAGGCCACCCCTCCAGCTCTAGGATTCCAGGGCTCACAGATCCACAGAAGAAGGAGCCATGAAGCAACACATAGCACATTCGGGGTCCAGGTCAAGGGCAATCTGCAACCTCCTGTCGTGAAATTGTAATCACTGACTAGACGTGCCCAGGCTGCCCCTCCCCCAGTGACCCCTGGCCTGGGACTGGTTCTGTCCTTCTCTTCACTGCATCCCACTCTGCCTTTCAGGCCACTCACAGCATGTGCCCAAGGAGTGACAGGCTGCTGTGGGCTATCAAGCACTTGATTTGTAGCCAATGTCAGTTATAAAACCAGGTGGCGCGTTTTTAAAGGCTTTTCAGCCTGCTTATACCACCGGTTGCTCTTGGTCCTGGTAATCCTGGTGAGGACAGGTATTACATCCCTGTCTTACTGCTAAGTACACTGAGGCCAAGCAAGTGAAGAGGTAACTTGCCCAAGGGTGCACTGCTGAGACTGGTTGTCACAGCCAGGGCGAGAGCCTGAGTCTTCTGACATCGTGCCTAGTGCCTGCTGCTTACCACTGGTGTTCACCTGGTTGGCTCCTGCCTGGGCACAATCCGGGGTGCAGGACCTTGGATAGTGGCCCTCAATACAGTGCCTCTCGCCAAAGAGCAGCTGCCTATTCCTGGCACAAAGACCAGAGTGAAGAGAGCTGGGTGTGCGGGTGGGAAGCCCTGGCTGGCCCCCGCACCTACCTTTGATGACAAAGGCCTCGGCCAGGAGCCGCATTTGATACAGGGGCTTGTTGTCCATGGCCATGTCGTCAATCCCAGCTCGTGCGTACATGCTGATGGCATCTCGGTATGAGCCTTCCATGTAATGCAGCTTGCCCAGGGTCAGCATGGCCTCACACATGTACTGTGGCTGAAAGGACAAGCAGCATGTTAGCACCAAAGCTCCCGGCCTCACGCACACCACGTCCCCTTGGGTGAACACTCCCCCACTGAGTCATAAGCCATGATGATTTGCCCAAGGCCTCCCTGGTGCCTCCAGGAAGCCTTTCCTGATACTCAAGCACAGGTCGACAGTCAAGCGCCCTTCTCTCCACACCTCCAGTCCATGACCAATACTGTGGCTCTTACTAAAGTTCCTAATTGTATGTTTCTGTGTATGCACGTGTGTGTGTCTTACGCTTCCAACTAGACTCCAGGCAGCTTGTAGGCAGCATCCCGTCTTCTCTCTCAAGACCCCAGAGACTCCAGAGTCTCAATAAAGTCAGGCGTCAGGAACCTAGACAAGGTTTGAGGGGCCTGAAGCTTGTACTCTGTGGGAGGTCCTCTTTACAAGCATATTTAAGTGTAAACTAGGTGGGCGGTCTTGGAAAGAACCTTTGCAGGTGAGGGGCCTACAGCTGAAGTCAAAGACATAGGACAGAAGACAGGCAGAAGGCCGAGGCCTGCTGGGTACCGTACTCGCCCTATCAGGCAGGGGTAAAAGTGCAGAGCCCCAGATGCCAAAAATGTGAATTCAAACCTGTTTTCTTTCCCTTGCTTTCTTAAGTGCTGTTTACACCCAAATCTCCACCCCACACAAGAACTCTCAGGGTTTCCCTGAGGGCTAACTAGCCCTGCCACAGAGACAGGCCTTGGACAGGGGCCCAACGCTGCTGCAAGATCTCCTACCCTGACAGCACTTGCTCTAACCTGCTGCCTCTGCATTAGGCTTAGTAGCCACAGTCCCTTTGGCCCAGACACCAAAACCCCCACAGCAAAGCACTGATCCTGTCCACAAATCTCCCCGGATGTGCAGTGTTGGCCCCCAACCCTGGCCTCTGTTACTGCCAAGACGGTGCTGCCTCTGACTCCCTGAGGGAAAAGCACAATCTGTCTGGGGTACCTGTGACCCCTAGGAAAGCCTCCAGCACTCCCCAACATCTCAGAAGCCAACTAAGAGGACTGAACTGAGCAGACAAAGCCCAGCTCTCCTCCCTCAATTGTTTTACAAATACACACCCTTCCTCTGCCTTTGCTCAGGCTCATTAACCCTCAAAGGCAGAAGTTTTCAAGGTCATCTGCTGGTCTCCCCAAATAGGCTGCCCCTTCCCTGGGCCAGGGCCTGGGGTCCCTATCCCATGCTTTTTCCAAGCAGGGAAACCACTTGCTGTTCCCACACTGCTCTCGAGCTGCAGACAATTTCCTCTGTGCTCGGGCCTCCTTTCCCTCATTGGTCAGGGAGAGATCATGACACCCACCCCTCATCTCCCATCATAGCAATGCTGAGAGCATTAGTAGGGCAGAGTCCAGAAAAGAGCTTTGAACTTTTCTTTAGAAAGGATCTAGATAAATACAGGGCATGAGTATAATTATTATTATTACTGTTATTATCCCCTTGTACTATAAATGGGGAAAGGCAGCTAAGCTCAGGACACATTTCAGGGTGTAGCCAGAAGTGCTTCAGTCCACAGAGGGCTTCCTTCCACAAGCTGGGGGAAAATTAAGAACTCTGGGTGACTGTTTCCTAAGGCTAATTGTGTAATATAAAAGCTGCCCTTATGATGAAACATACCCGCCTTGGTTTTTGGTGCTGGGATGTGTTTTCTTTTATGAAGTGATAGTAATGAAGATGATACAGTTTTGCTATTTTGGGGTTGGGTGTTTTTGGTTTCTTTTTTGCTATTTTAATGTTCTTACTTGGCCGGATTAAAAGTTGTCTACGCTCTCTAGACAAAGACCCTGCCTGGTCGAAGGGCGCGCTGTGCAGGGAGCCCAGGGATGCGGCCCCCTGCTGTGGGGCGTGGGTAAGTCACCTAGGCTCTCGTGAACATCTCTGTCAATACAAAGAGAAAAGAATCTTGTGGGTTTTCACTGAAGGCAAGAGAACACAAGAGGAAATACTTCATGATGCAAAATGGGGCCTATAAAAACAGGAGGGTCATCATCATCACTAACACGAATCCAGGTTTCTCCGTCTTCATTCCCAGTCCAGTATTAGGGAGACAGGACTAAGACATGGCAAAGAGCATTAGTGCTAAGTGGGGAGACAACAGGCCTGCGTCGTGACCTGCACCTGAGGCCATGACCTTTGCTAAGTGAATGACCTTCCCTGGGTCTCACTTTCTTCACCTGGAAAATGGCGATGACAGTGAGCAACATGGCAGAGGGCCACTATGAGGCACCAGTGAGATGGAGCAATGCCTGGCACTCCGTGGGTAAGAGAAAGCATGACCAATGGCTCATTTCCACAGAACTGAGCAAGACAAAATCTTAGGGATCACCACGAGTCTACTCTCAGATTTCAAACCACCCCAGGGGTGCTTAGCACACGGCTCGCCCACATCTCCTCATTCTGCCAGAACTACTGAGGATGCCTGGCACACCTGCCTGAGATTTCACCTGGTGTCAGGAAAGATTCCACCCTGCCCCAACAACCCCCCCCCCCCAACACACACACACAGCCAGGCCTTTGGGGTAGGGTAGAGAATCCCATGAGCTATTTTTAACATTTTATTTTGCCAGCTCAACAGTTCCTGACTTTGACCTGGGTAACAGTGAGTTCCCCAAAGTTACAGGTGCCTACGTATGTCTTTGACTAGTAAGGCAAGGTGAAAGTTGTACTTAAAATGTGATTTGGTAGAACAAACAGTTTCATGACAATGCATGTGGCTACTTTCCCGCCAATAGAAAGAATGAGGCTTTGGCAGCGCCAAGGGAAAGTTCTCAGTGGAACAGAACAACCTGTCAAATGCTGATTTGTAGCCGATGAGTCCAGTGAGAGTGTGTGTGCTGTAACTGGCAGGGAAAGGTAGGTGGCCGTACACAAACAGAAGGGAAGCGAACAGAAAGGGTGGGAAACGCTCAAACATCTTGTTTAGTTAGCGATTTTTCCCCCATAAAAAATGAAAGGGGTTTTGGTGGGAGAAGATTGAGACCCACTAATCAAATCCACCCCTTTCACTGGAGGACGAGAAACAGGAGGACCCAAGAGGCCAAGGGACTTGCTTCAGGTCAAGCAGCTCTTTAATCCAACACAAAATCTTCCAGAACCACGAAAACCCATGTCAAGGAATCTAAAGACCAATTTTTAATTTCCACGTACACTTTTCCTCACAAAATATGCCACACACTTCTCAACCTGGTGTTCCAGAACTTACCCTCTGGCCCCAGTACTCCCTTCTAAACGAATTACCTGCCGTTCCTGTTATTTGACAGACTTTTACGAAATTCTTCTAAGGAACCCTTCAATGGCACATGGCATCCTCAGCTTGGAATCCCTGTCCCATGTCTCTGTCTACACCATTCCCTGCTTCAGGCCACAGGAGCATTCGATTCTGGCACCACTATCACGTGAATCAACTCCCCGCCTCACCCTGGGAGTGTCCCTCCTAGACTGGCCTCCTCATGCACACCACTCCTGGGTGGATGTCACAGTCTGCCTGGCACAATTTGCAGATAGGACTTATCTTCCCAGTATTCCTGCAACCTGCCTGAGTACAGGGTCCATGTTGGATTCACCTTTATTGCCCTCGGAGTACAAAACACATTGCACACAGTAGGTTGTGATAAAACGTTAAAGGCAGTAATGTGGAACACCACTTGAGAAATCACAACCTCTTTTTGTCTCTAATGATACAACTCTGCCTCTATTACAGCTCAGAAACACTGTAATCGAGAACAGTCTCAAATTTTAATGTGTGAATTCCTGGGAGAGCATGTCAAATTGCAGATTCTCATTCAGGTTCTGCATTTATTATTTTTCTTTTTAAAGATTTTTTTATTTATGCCTACCTACAGGACTGGGGTACAGGCCAGAGGTGTGGTGGGTGAGAGGACCCGCCAGACAGAGTAGGGAACAGAATAGGCAGATCGACTAAAATACACTGCTGAGGGGAGCAGCAGGTGGGTCAGGAGAGGAATGCTGCGCCATGTGGTTCAGCTCCCTGCCCGGGGATCAAACCCGTGCTGCAGTGGCTTTGGAGAGCTCTGTAGTGTGGTGCCTTCACCTGTTGAGCCACCAGGGAGAGCCCCCAGATTCTGCATTTCTAACCAGCTCCCTGATGATGGCTGAGCCAGATTTTAAGCAGCAAAGGCCTAGAGAAAGCAGTAGTTTCTACTTCTCTCTGAACCTCCCGCCGAGCCTGGCACCGGTAGGCACTCAGTAAATGTGTGGGGACTCCGCGGCTGGCCCTGTGAAGCTCTTCGGGCACCAGCCGACGCTGCACATTTGCCTTAGTCATCAGAGGCTCACTGTTTCCTTGAGGGCCCCAAAGAGCCCAAAGCACCAGGCTCACAGTAAGTCTAACAGAAATACACCTTAAGCGGCAAATATAAGCCACATATATGTAATTAAAATTCTTCTAGTCACATTTAAAAAAGGTGAAATTAATTTTATAACAACCTTCATTTAACCCAATATACCTACAGTTTTATCATTTGACAGGTAATCAATAAAAATGACTGATCATTTATAGTCTTTGCTTTGTACTAAGCCTGCAATATCCAGAGTACGTGCGAGGCACATCTCCAGTGGACTTCTCAAGCACTCAAGTACTACATGGGGTTACGGGCTACTGTACCAAACAGCCACTCCTTAAGTAACCGAGTGACCCAGGGAAGGTTTCACAGCCTACGAGATGGTAGAAAGAGAGGAGACGGCAGACTGGGGAGGTGGGGGGAGGATGGAGAACAGTGGCTGACCACTCACTGGCAGCTTCCCGTGGTTAAGGATACTGCTCAGATAGTTCCTGGCTTCATTCATCTTTTGCTCATTCTTCTCCGGCAAAGGGATGGAGTCTTTTATCTTGGCATGGTTCTCCTTCAAACACTGCTCCAGGAGGGTCTCGGCCAGAAGTAACTTCCCCAAGTCATCTGAAAAAGAAGGCAGGGGTCAGAGGGGGGATGGTCATCATCGGGGGCGGGCCCCTGGACCTGGTAGATATGCCAAATGTCCCAGCCACCCCACCCTAACATACATGGCCCAGGTCTAAGAAAATAAATAAAGACAGTTTCCATAAAGTCAAGCAACCTTTAAAGAGAAAACACAGGCATTCCGCCACGGTCACAGTACAAAGCGCCCCTTTGGGTTTATTTTCTGTAGTTTAGCACTCGGGGAGGCAGAGTTCCCAGGACTTGGGACACATTCCCAGAATTTTAGAATTTAAAATGAGGAACAAAGTCACACCCATGCCCTACTACTAGTAAGAAGTTCTTAAACCAAGAAGGAATTCCCCCCAAACAATGTAAGAAGAAAAACACAGGAGGTGGTTAAATAATACATGTTCATATCCCCTGAATTTCAGTATAACCATAACTGGTTTACTCTGTTTCTGTGGTATTTTAACATGACCCAGGAACAACCTAGCAGCCAAAGGGAGAGTTGGTGGGAAGCAGATTTACTTGTCTGGTGAGGCAAATCCTTGAACACTGAGTACTGGCACTTTCTGGATTCTCTCACATGTTAGCTTATCTGCAGACACCTTCCCGCCTGGCAGGTGATTTCATACTTGTGGATTTAATTTGCTGCCTTTTCCTACAGCACTGAAAACTCGACTTGTGGCCACCACATTCATGCCACTTGCAGCAGAGGTAGCTGGGTGTTCCGTGGGCAGGGTTAGACCAAGAGCGGCTTCCTGAAGCCTGGGTAGCTGTGCTGTGTGACTGGCTCTTTGTGCCTCCTCCCACAACCATGGTGGGGACAGGCCTTCGATGACACAAGCACCCAATAAACAGTGCTGAGTGAATTGGAGCCTCACAGGGACCCCACTGGGAAGCCATGAGGTTCTGGGAGTTCCATACATGTTGGGAAGGGCTGAGTGGACCCTTCTCTTCACAGAGTTCTTACTGCTGCAGGGATGGCTATTCAGAGATGTCACTCCCAGGACCGCAACTCAAAGCCACTGGTGCAAATCTCCCTCTAAGAGGGAGATCCCCCACTGAGGACATCCCCAAAGTCCAGAACTCCAAAAACTGTCAGGGGGGAGTTTCCTTGTGGGAAACCTGCTGGCCTGCTGTTGGATCCTCAACTACCTGCCTCATGATTTCGAAAACTAACATGGAGAGCAGGCAGTCCATAAAAGGACCCATTTCAGGGCCCTCCCTGGTGGCGCAGCGGGTTAAAGCACAGCACCAAGAAGCTTAAGCCACTTCCGCATGAGTTCGATCCCCGCCTGCCCCAGAGGTGACCACATGGCGCGGCAGACCTCTCCTGACCCGCCCGTTACTCCCCTCAGCAGTGTACTTTGTCAGTCTGCCTGTTCTGCTCCCCACTCTGTTCCTGGTGAATCCTCTCACCCTCCACATCTCTGGCCTGTACCCCAGTTCTGTATGAATAAATAAATCTTTAAAAAAAAAAAAGGACCCATTTCAGACTATCATCCATTGCTGGGAGCGTAGAGGTTGGTAGAACCTCTATAAAGGGCAATGTGGCAACATGTATCAAACTTATTTTTGTATTTTCCCACTGACTCAGTAATTCCACTCCTACAGATGGTCTTGCACGGGTATAAAACAACCGACATAGAAGGTTGTTCCTACAATGTTATTTACACTAGCAGAAAATTTATGCCCCTAATAGTGGACTGATTAAATAAAGCATGGTACGGCCACAGAAAGAGCCACCAGAATATAATGCAAAATCGTGAAGCCACTCTGGAAGTGCTGCTATGGAACGAACACAAAGATAAGTGGGTAAGAAAGCAGAGCGTACCCTGCAGATGGGCTGGACCACTGGGCATTCATGCATAACATATGTTTAAGGACACACACATCTGATAACCTTGCTGCCATATGAGGAAGACTTTTCATTCTTCGTGTGTCTCTGGAATAATGGCCCATACAAACATATGTCCTAGTCAAAAATAAAATTTAAATCAAATGAAAGGCAATCTTCTTTATTTCCAGATCACAGCTGCTTAGCAGCAGACATCTGAGCAGCAGCTCTGAGCTAGAGAGGTTGGGGAGAAAGGGGGCTCTGGACACTTTCTCCTCCCGCACTAACTGTTCCTGCATCCATAAAGCCTGGGATAGCTTAGGAACCCGCTCCTCCCAGAGAACTGCCCTGCCCAAGCCCACCCTCCTTCTGCTGGACCTGGCAGCACTGGCCCTACCCTGGGCTCTCCACAGCTCCTTGGCTCCCCAGCTTTCACGCCCAGAGAAACCTGCTTCCTTTAGGGAATCCTCAATCTTCATTTGTGGAAATACTCCCCAGGGTAGACACCTCACCTCAAAATAGCCAGGGTGCCCTCTGAACATGTGTTGCTGAAAGTGCACTGGAGTGGAGGGGGAGGGAGGGGGGAGACCTGAGTGTGACCCCATACCACAGAAAGGGGTGCAGATATTTGGGGTATGTTCAGAAATGTTGAGAATGTGACAGAATAACTTTAGATCTGATGAATAGAATAAAAAATTGGGAGGTGGCAGTTTATGTGTCCTATGAAAGTATCGGAGCACAACAGATTGGGAATTTAAGAAAAACAAAACCATAAAACTGATTCCTCACCGTGGGTCATTTGAGAAACCCTGCTCTAAATGAATGTGAGAGAAGGGCTGATATTTGTTTAGTGCCTACTGAGTGCCAAACCTTTATTGTGTGTAACACAGCTCTTTATACCATGCACAGACATATTATTGGTACAGTCATATCTCACAACAATAACATATCCAAAGAGTAGTCTGTCTGTCCTGTCTCCCATGCAGAGCAAAACTTCTAATAGTTTAGAAATGAAGAACAGTCTAAGAGCTATAATCAGCCATTTCAAATCTATCAGTAACTACCAAGTTAGTGATGAGAATTGCTCTCATTGTCATATAACTGTGAGTTTTAGGTTTTTTTTTTTTTTAAGGATTTATTTTTTTATGCATACAGACCTGGGGTACAGGACAGAGGTACAAGGGTGGTGAGAGGATTCACCAGAGATGGAGTCGGGAGCAGAACAGGAAGATCTACCAAAACACACTGCTGAGGGGAGTAGCGAGCAAGATAGGAGAGATCTTCAGTGCCATGTGGGTCACCTCTGGGGCTGGGGATTGAACTCACACTGAAGTGGCTGCGGCTGGCTGCAGTGCTGTGTCCTAACCCTTCGCGCCACCAGGGAGGGCCTGAGTTTTGGTGTTTTTTGTTTTTTGTTTTTGTTTTGTTTTCCTTTGCTCTTCCCTCCACATCCAGTCTAGTTTAGCACACATTCAATAGGTGTTAGGAATTTTCTTTCTTTTCTTCCTTGTCCTGGTCTCCTATTTTCACCCCACCATTCTTGTCAGACTATGGCACTGAAGGGTATTTTGGAATAAAAAGACCTAGCCTTACAGTAACTAAAAGTTCTAGATTTTCAGTTATTAAAAAAATATATAAGCTTGGCCCTCCCTGGTGGCGCAGCGAGTTAAAGCACAGCACTGAGAATCTAAAGCCACTTCCTCATGAGTTCGATTCCCGCCTGCCCCAGAGGTGACCACATGGCGTTGCAGACCTCTCCTGACCTGCCCGCTGCTCCCCTCAGCAGTGTACTTCGTCCATCTGCCTGTTCTGTTCCCCACTCTGTCTCTGGTGAAGCCTCTCACCACCCCTGAGCCTCTGGCCTGTACCCCAGTTCTGTATGCACAAATAAATAAATCTTTAAAAAAAAAATAAGCTATTAAAATAAGTAGGTCTAAAACCTATCCCTCTCCCAGTTTAAAGTGTTTCAGCTTCTCCCCTCCCAGAGCCATTTGCCTTTCTGATGGTGAGTGAAATAGATTCGGAGTCTGAGTGCTCAGCACTCAGCAGAGGCCCAAAGCAAGTCCCAAGTCTCCACGCTCCTCTTGTTTTGAAGGCCTTTGGCGGCTGGTTTCCTCCAGCTCCAACTTCCTTTAGTCTTCTCACAGAGAACCCACATTTGTAGGGCAGTGCTGTCCACTCCACAACTTGCCAATTCATGGTCCGCAAACCTGGGCCCCACCAGCCAGGCTGGCGATCAGTCCCTTCCTCACCAGGACTCTGCAGCTGCTCACTCCACAGGACTGCAGAGGCCTGAGGCCCGCCAACCATAGCAAAGGAAGAAGCAGCCCAAACTCATGAGAGGCCACAGCGTCCCACGAACCCCCTTCTAATTTAAGCTGAAGAAACCTCTTCTTAAAACAAAAAATCAGTTGAAAAAAAAGATAGATTAGGAGATGCAAGGTAATATTCAAATCTTCATGGTAGGTATGCCATATGCACAATTCTTTTAACTCAAAGTTTCAAATGTTGAAATGTACGTAATAAAATGTTAGGGCAGAGAAGAAAGATGCAACCTATCAACTCAATGCAATGTATGGCCTTATTTGAGTCCTGATTCACACAAACAAACTGTGAATTTTAGTCATTAGATGTTTGGGGGGAGGAATAGTGATATTGTTATGGAAGTTATATTTTTCAATAGTAACTTAATAAATACACATTGAGGTATTTCAGTGTGGAGAAGAGTATACCAGGGTTCTGATCAGACAAGACTGTTCCTGAGTCCATAATCACAGAAGCTGGTTGATGGATACGTGGGATTGGTTCTATTTGGGAAACTTTTCATAATAAAGTTTTCTTTTCTGCTTTATTTAACCACAGGATGGTTTGCTTATTTTTACATGAACAAACCCTAACATAGTGAGTAGCTCTCTGGGGTTCCCCTGCTCCATCGAGACCGGATGTGAGTTTCAAAGAAAGCTACAAACAGAAGCTACCAACCCTCCAGGCACGTGGTGGGGAGCAGCCTCCCCAAACAGGAAAAGGGGGTGGGGCCTCCTTGTGTCTAAGGACCTCCTGATCTTCACTCCCCACAGACCAGAAAGAGGTTCCCCCCAACAGCTGGGTTCTCTCCTCTTGCTCCAGAAGTGAAATTAATACTCCGGGAGCTATTTTTAGTTTCTATAGGAAACCTCACAGCAGAGCAGGGCCTCAGGGCCTCAGTCTATAAAAAGGGGTTCAGGGCCCTCCCTGGTGGCGCAGCGGGTGAAAGCACTGCACTGAGAAGCTAAAGTCACTTCCGCATGAGTTCGATTCCCCCCTGCCCCGAGGAGACCACATGGCGTGGCAGACCTCTCTTGACCCGCCCGCTGCTCCTCTCAGCAGTGTACTTCGTTGATCTGCCTGTTCTGCTCCCCACTCTGTCTCTGGTGAAGTCTCTCACTGCCCCTGAGTCTCTGGCCTGTACACCAGGTCTGTATGTACAAATAAATAAATTAAAAAAAAAAAAAGGGGGTTCAACTGGGGCTCAGTTTCCTTTCTCAGTACCTTTCTCTTCTCTCCCAAGTTACCAAAGGTTGAAGCTTCTTCAGTGCCTGTGAAGTCTAACAGGACAGGTGGAACTTTAAGCACCAACACGCCCACCCCCATCCAAACAAACAAGCAAACAGGCTTTCTGTTCTTCTAGTTATCCATCAGGGAACCCAGTGGAGACAGAACCAAAATAGCTGGCAATGTAAAATATATTTTGGGAGTCACTGGTTTTCCTTCCTATTCCTGTGTGGACTATATTTTGGGATAATGTATCTGAACTGAACAGTAGGGGAAAACCTGCTCACAGAACCAAACCTAAAGCTGGCAGGAGAGACCCCCACTGCCCCTCAACCGCCCTCCTCGTGCTGCTCTGTTCCCACACTAACGTCAGACCTGGCTTTCTGTTCCCCACTCTACCATAAACGGACTTGGCGGCAAGGACTCGGACTGGGTACAGGTTCTTCCACATACACATTACGTGACCTCTCTGGGCCATGATGTCCTGGTATCAAAATTGGGGACAAGCATTCCTGCCTTCCCCACAGGTTTGTTTACTAAAATTAAAAACAACAACCACCACCAGCAACTATAATTATACCATGCCACTTCCAAACCATGCCATACCAGTGTTTCCCAATAATGCTTGATAGAATGTCCAGGCAAGTCTGAGAAATACGGTGCTTACCCGATCTGCAGTTAAAAAAAAAAAAAATCTTTCTAAAATATTGATTCCCTTAATTCTAATTCCTTAATCTCTTTGGCTCATCAACCCTTTCTTCCTGGGCTATCCATTAACTCACCACTCAACTCCTTGAAGGCTCAAGAACAGGGTTGGAAGTGCAGCCCATGTGAGTGCAGGGCACCTCGGTTCCTGTCTTGGACAAGCCTGTTTCTCACACAAATACCCACACCTCGCCTAGGCCCCGTGTTCTCTGTGAGGCTGTTTCTATGACCACCTTCGCAGTCCCACCCCAGACCTACACCCCACCCCGGGCACGGGGGCTGGGGGGGACTCACCAGCTTCTTCCACACACACACACACGCACCTTAGCTCTTGTCTCACTGCCATGCTCAGATCTATCTCAAAATCTCACCAGCGGTTGTCCGTCCCTGCCTCCTGCGCCCCTCAGTATCCATCCTTCTATCTTTCCCCCACACTAGGCAAACACTCTGTCCTTCCCAAACCAGTTAGCAGCCCGTTCCTGAAACTTTCTCCCTTCTTCTGAGCACCCCAGTCCAGCACAGGACTCTGGTCACCTTCCTGCCTCCTTGTCCACTTGGGCAACTCTTCCAGCCAGTATTCTGGGCCATACATCTTTAAGAGATAGTATTGCATGTGGTTAAAAAAATATGCACAGAAACCTAGGTTCAAATCCTGGTCCCACCACTTGTTGGATCAAGTTACTTAACGTCTCTGTGCCTCAGTTTTCTTATTTGTAAAGTGGAGCAAAGAACACCTGCTTCAGGGGGTTGTTGGGAGGAATTTATGAGTTGGCTGAAGTGCTGAAGATGGGGTCTGGCACAGTGAGTGCTAGGTGAGCCTCAGCTACACAGACTGGAAAGTCTTTAAAGCTCTTTATTATATCTGTTTTCTCTCTGCCTTCCTTCCACAAGTCTCTGAACTGGCTGTGCACAGAGAGGGCGCAGCTGAAGGGACCAGGAACAGGATTTGAAGTTGGAGGCCCTGGCGGGTGTTTCCCCGCTGCCACATCAGGGTGATTTCCCGCCCCAGCACCAGAGCCAGGCCCAGACAAACCAGCCCTACTGCTAAAGCCACCGACAGCCAGGGCTCCGTGGGGCCCCGAGTGGGATCACAACTAGGAAACTGAAGCTTAACAGGCCTCTTTGCACTTCTCTACCACCCCACCCTGGCGCTCATAAATCCCCGATCATGTCTTCTGTGGACTGAGCTTTGCTGTCATCCTGACTTGGGGTGAAAGAGGAGGGCAGGAAAGATAGTCTTTACCTGATGGAGTTTAAGGAGCGGCGTGGGGGTGAGGGGGGATGGTGCAGCATTGAGGCAAGAGTCCAGCCCTTGCCCCATCAGTTACATGCCAATACCACAATTTCACAGTAAAAGGAGTTGCCCACACGATCTAAAGAGAGAGCAAAAGCTGTTTTGTCTCTCTCCCCACAGCACCCAACCTGTGTAGGGTTTTTTTCCTGTGTCAGAACCTGCCTAATTACTCAGGCCGCTCCTACGATCGTACTTCAGGAAGAGTAATACCGAGGGTGGCCGTCGCCGAACGGGGGCAGTCGGGGAGCGCTTCCTGGAGGAGGCGGCGCTTTTGGCGCGCTCTGTGCCTGGGAACCAGCCCCCTTCCCTCCCTTACCGGTGTCCAGAGAGGTGAACAGGGCGCTGGGGCTGGCTCGTCGGTTGCCTCCGCCGCTGGGCACAACCAACGCCTGCATCTGCCGGACTAGCTGGGGCATGCGGTCCCAGTGGCCCTCGGCGCGGCAGCGCTCCAGCTCGCTCTCAATCTTCAGGTGGGAGCTGTGTGCGCCCTTCGCAGCCATCTTCGAGCGGGTGCTGTCATGGGAGGTGCGGCCGAGAAGTGGAGACCCGGTCGGGGGCGGCGTGCCGGCTGAGGCGCAGAGGCAGGGGGTGTCGGCGGGGGCGCTGGCGGCGGCCGGGGC